TGCATTTATTACTAATGAGAATCTATTTTAAAGATAACTTCTTAACTAGTTGTGACTTGTGATAGCTAATCAGAGAATTATAACAGAGTTACAGCAGTTAATCAGAAAATTGTAATAGAGTTGCAATAGTTAATTAGAGAATTGCAACAGAATTGTGATTAGTTGCAGCTCCCATCACTAGTCTATTTCATTTTAATGTAATATTATTTGAGCTTATAAATACTTCAGCTATCTTTTAAAGACTTATGAATAAAATTTTTAAAGAGTATATTAGAAAATTTATAGTTATATACTTAAATAATATAATTATATATTTCAAAACTTGAAAAGAACATGTGATCTATGTACAAAAAGCTCTAGAAAAACTTTATTAGACAAATTTAAAGCTCTAATTAGATAAATGTGCTTTTGAAAAGAACTAATTATTCTTTCTAAATTATATCATTGGCAAAGATAGAATTCATCTTGATCTAGTCAAGATAAAAAAAGTACAAGAATTTCTAATACCTACTAATATTATATTATTAAGAGGATTTATAAGACTTGTCTCTTATTATAGGAGATTTATTAAAGATTTTATCAAGATAGTAGCTTTCTTATATAAACTATTCAAGAAGAATGAAGAGTTTAAATAGATAAAAAAATAACAAATAGTATTTGAATCACTTAAGAAATATTTGATCTCATTACTAATTATTATATATTCAGACTTCATAAAGCTATTTACTCTTTTTACTGATACTTTTGAACTAGAATTAGATATTATATTAGTATAATATGATAGTGAAAAGAAGAAATACATAATTACCTATGCTAGTAAAAAAGTGAGTAAGAAGAAAAGTAAATATATTGTAACAGAGCTAGAATATCTTGAAGTTATTTGGATAGTTAAACTATTTAGACTCTATTTGCTATCTGATATTCTATTTATATTTATTATAGATCATTCAGTACTCAAGTAGCTGATTAATAAACTAAATCCTTTTGAAAGACTTACATATTAAATAATAGCTTTATAAGAGTTTAATTTCAAAGTTAAACATAAATTTGGTAGAATCTATTTGAATATTAATCCCCTTTTTAGAATATTACACATAACTAAAAAAGAAAAAGATAAAATATGAATTTGGATAACTATACAGAATTATATAATTATCTTAATATGCTAATAATACCTGATGAATTTTCAAAGAAAAAATGAAAATAGCTGCTGACAGAATCAAAGAAATATTTTATACAGAATTACAAACTATATAAAAAAAATAGATAGAATATTAATCATTTATTATTAATTATAAAATCAATAGAAATCAAGTTAGTTCTTTATAATAATCACTCTGATACTATCTCTAAATATTTTAAAATTAAAACTACTTATAATTAAATAATAAGAAATTATTATTAGTTTCAGATCTACAGAGATATAGATATATATATTAAAGTCTGTAATATATATCAATGAAAAAATAATTATATAAGAATAATAAATTAATATCTATTCAAGTAAATACATCTTTTAAAAAGATTAAAATTGATTTGATAGGATCTCTTCCAGTAACTAATAATAAAAATTACTATATTATAGTTGCTATTGACTATTTAACTAAATAGACTGAAGCAAGACCAATTACTGATACTTCTATAAGTATAGTCATCCTCTTTCTTTATGAAGATATAGTAATAAGATATGAATTTTCAAAAGAAATATTTAGTAATAGAGAAACTATATTTATTAATAAAATTATTAAAAAACTATTAAAAAAATATCAGATCAAATATAGACTTTTTGCATCTTACCATTCTTAAACTAATAAATTAGTTAAAAGATTAAATCAAACTTTATATACTTCATTATCAAAATATATTCAGCTTTATAAAAAAGATTGAAATCATTACTTACTCTTAGTTCTATTTACTTATAAAATAATAAAGCAAAATACAACTTCATTTGAACCCTTTCAACTGGTATATAATCAATAAGTAATCATACTATTAAATATTAAATTAAAAGATTTTGATAGTCTTACTTTTGAAAAAGCTCTTATCAAAAGAATATATGAATTAATTAACAAATTAGAGATTACATAAGAACTAGCTCTTAATAATATCCAAGAGAAATAGTCAAAACAAAAAGAATAATATGACAAGAAACAAAAGTTAATAGTTTTTCAAATAGGACAGAAAGTATTAATAAGATAAATAAAAATTTAATACTGATATCATGATAAATTCAACAAAAAATAGAAAGGACTATTCTATATTCATGAAGTATATAATAAAGGAGTATATAAACTTAGAAATGAAAATAAAAAAGTCTTGAAAAATCTATATAATAGTGATCACTTAAAATCATACATTAAGTTTAATAATTTAGAACTAATAATTATTATTGATAATAATTAAAAGATTTACAGAGTAAATCTCTTAAAGTCAAAGATCCTATAATCAATTACCTATTTATATAGTATAGTAAATATAGCATAATATATGATACAGCTATAGTATATAGCACAATAATTACTAATTATTACTAAATTAGGTGAATAAGAAATTTATATTAATTAGTCTTATTTATTATTAATTTTATTTTTAATTTATATTATTACTCATATTTAGTCTTATTCATTTATTAATTTAGCTATATGTATTATACTTAATTTATAGTTTTATTAAATTAATAATTATCTAATTAATTATTATTAATTTTCTTCATTTCTCACTTTAGCTTTGAATAACTTAATATTTTACTAATTTTAATTCTTAATTATCATGTATTTAATATTCTTTATGATTATTCTTTTGAAATTCTACTTATTCTTAAGTAAATTAAGTAAAATATCTTATTTTCTTTTAGTTCTATTAAAAAAGTAATTTTATTAAAAGTAAAAACAAATATAAATTATCTTACTAAGAAGATAATCATATTTTATCAGAAGTAAACTCATATATATTATCTTATTAAGAAGATAATTGATTATATAATTTCTTGAAGTTATAAAAAGTAAATAATTATTATGAATATAATTATTATTATCATTTTAAAATATTTACATATACATAAACTTAAAATGGTAATAATATAGTAAGTATATAAGAAGATAGTCAAAGAATTAATCTCTATAATTCTCTTTTTAACTTCAAAAAATATTAATAAATATTAGAGAAATATTTGATAAAGATTATATTAATAGTATGAATTATAATATATGAATATTCATATTCATAGAGAAATATATTCATCAGATTCATCATAAATTATATAAATTTATAGATTTTTTACTAATTATTTTTATTTGATAATTTTAGATAAGAATAAAATATTATAGTAAATATAATAGTTACATTTTTATTATCTAAAATACTATCTTTTTAATATTTAGTAAAGAAAAATTAGTAAGAATTAATAATAATACATTTATCATTCATCTCATTGAATGAAAAAAAGTGTAAAAACTTGAATTACATATAAAAATCTCTTTTATAATAATAAATTACTCACAAATATTAGTTATATGATATTTAAAAAATATAAAGGAAAAGTATTATCAATAATATACTATATATTTATTCTAGTTATTTGTAATATTCTTCTTAATTCATCAAGTTTAAGAATCAAATATAAAGATAGATTAGTAATAAGATATATATATGTATTTATGATAAGTAATACTTTGAATTTACTTAAAGTTTACATTAAAAATTATTCATATATTAGATATTTAACAAGCTATAGAAAATAATCAGCTAGTAATATCAAAAATAATAATAAAGATAACAGAAAAAGAAATTAAAAAGATAAAATAAAGAAAAAATATCAAAAATTACAAGCTAAGAATATGATTAAAAAAAAGATTATAATAAAAAAGATAATGATTATAATAATTTTATAAGTTTTTTTAATACTTTTTGTAATTTATTTCTTTGAAATCTTTAAAAAAAATATTTTTTTATTCAAAAGATTACTAACTTGAATTATAAATTTATATAATATAATTTTCTTTAAATTTATATTTTATTATTATATATATATACTTTACAATAAAATAAATATCTTTATTATTGTTTAATCTATGAATTTTACTATTACTTGAAATTACTATTATTATTATTTAAAATTACTATTACTACTTGAAATTAATATTATAAAGTTTTGCATAGAATTTTAAAAAAAATTAAAAAATCTATGCAGATTTATATTTTATTACAGATCTATATAAATTTTTTAATTTTTTTTTATTAATTATTATTAGATTTGAAGTTCTACATAAATTTTTAGATCTAAAAATTTATATAAAATTATATTCTTAAAAATTTTCTAATATTAATTATTTAATTTTATTTTTTTTAAGTATGATAATTATAAAAAGATCTAATTATATTTAAAAAATTATTATATATTTTTTTTAAAATTTTAATAATAATAATAATATATATAAATTTATAATTAAAATAAAACTTACTTATTAAATTTTAAATTTTTCTAATTATATCAAATTAATAATTATATATTAATTAATAAGTAAATAATAAATAAGAAAATTATTAAATTTATAATTAATAAAGAAATTTAAGAATCTGAAAATTATAAGAAATTAGAATAATAATAAATATTTTAAAAAAAATAATAAAAATAATAAAATATTTTATAATAAGATAATAATATAAATATTAATATTAAAATTATAAAAATATTAATAAAAATATTAATTTCAAACTATTAAAAAATTATAGAAAATAAGTTAAATTTTAAAAATAATTATTGATTAATAATTTTATATTAATTAATTAATTTATTTATAATTTTTTTGATTAATATAATTTTATTTAAATATATATTATTTATTATAATAAATATATTTTAAAGAATTTTTTTTTAATAAATTTCTATTATATAAAAAATAATTTAATTTTATATTATATTAAAATTATTATAATTTTCTTAAAAAATAATGGTTATTTGAATTATATATATAATTTTTATTAAAATATATTCTATTATTCTAAAATAATTTAAAAGCTATTATTAAAAAATATATATATATAAATCTGTATTATAATTTCTATTTATTTTAAGCTAAAATATTTTAATTAATAATTTGTATTATCTTTAAAATAATATATAATTAAACTATAAAGTAATTAAGAATTTATAATAATAAGATTATTAAAATATAATAAAATTTTTTTAAAAAATTGATATTTTTCTTTATTTCTATAAATATTATATAATTTAACTTTGTAAATTTTAGAAATTTATTATCTTGATCATTTATGTAAAATTAAATTTAAATTATTTTATTATGATAGTTAAAATTAAGATTTAACTTAAAAAAATATATGATAACTTTAAGATAAATAAATAAATTATTTATAATAAACTTTTTAAACTTGATTATATTACTATTTTATTAAGATATATTTTATTTTTTATTGAATAAATTAAGAGAGATTAATTATAATAAATATAGAATTACTTCTATTATAACTGATATAAAATAATATTTTCTGATAAAATAACTTTGTAAATATTTTAGAATACTTACTTGATTTAATTATATTTTGACAAGTCTATTATATTAATAATAAAATATCTATTTAAGTTTTATATATAAAGAGTAATTTATATATATAATAAAATTAGAATTTATATTTTATAAAGAATATGAATTAATATTTCTATTAATAAATTTTTAATAAGAATCTATATAATAATGTAACTAGTATATATATAAAGACTAATGCTAAATTTTTTAATAGAATAATAATTTTAAATATATTTCAAAAAATATTCATGCTAATCTTAAGTTATAGTTACTAAATTATATTTTATTTTGATTATTATATAATTTAAATTTTAATCTAATAAATAAAATATGAAGAAGAGAGTTAAAATAATAATAATATAAAAGTAAAATATATTATAAAAGAATATTTCTAATAAGATAATTCTTAAGTATATTATCAGTATGCCAAATTGTATTCAGACTTGCATTGATATAAATATCAAATACTGATTTTTTTACAGATATATATCCTATCTAAATACATTCCAAATATAAAAATTTTGAAAGAATTATTATATAAAAAATTTTTTATAATAAAAAAATCACTAGCCATTACTTTCTGGAAGAACTATATATATTTCTCATTAAGCTGAAATTTTTTATAAAAAATAGTAGCTTATTTTTGAATCTATTCTTTTCTTCATCCAATTATTTGGAAGACACAGAGAAAAGGATATATAAAATGAGAAAAATTTTTAATATAATATAATGCGATATAATTTGGGCCAAAATTCTCAATGTCAGCCTAATAATTCTGGTAAAATTTAAGTGCTGGAATTTTTAACCTAAGTTAACTCTAAAAACTAATAATTTCTTCTAAGATTGACTATATTTATTGGATGCGACTAGGCTTAGTGCAATACCAACTTTCAGCAGTTGACCAGAAGATTGCTTACACATATTTTATTATTAATTAAAAAAATCGATCAATGATTCAGTAATACTTTACCGTTCGAAGTAATTACCGAACCGTTCGGATCACTAGTCACAAGGATATGAAGCATTAAGAATCTTTCTCAAAATACATGTCATATCTGACTTTTTTCTCTGTCTCCCGACGATGTGTACTGACTGTAGTCAGGAACAAACCCATTTTGTATATTTGAATCAAACAAAAACTAAAAATCTGGTTTGAATTCGAAATCGAACATAGGTCGAGTCCGGTTCGGTTCGATCGGAACACTAAGTAACGGTGAAATCAAATTCAGCTTCTCATAATCGTCTTTTTCAGACTAACTGGAAATATTATTTTGGTTATTACTTTCCGTTTTGGATATCATAAGGAAACAATTACATATATTTGGAGAAACAATTACATATATTTGATTGTTTTTATAAATAATTGATTGCTCTAGGTTACCGATCACAGACGCACAATTGTTTGGAGTAGCCCGGGTTATAAAAGATTTTGACGCCATGTCGATCAGGTTCAACCACTCCAATAAAGGTTGGAGCTGAATCGGAGATAATCCGAAGTAAGATGCTTCGATTTACAACCTTATTCATCATCATCATCATCGTGGTCGTCATCAATATTTTCATCTGTGTCATTATGATTTCGAGTATTATTGGAAATTTGTATTTCAGCAAGTGTCATTTTACAAAATTCTATTAAAGAATCAATAGATGGTGATGAAACTGTCTCCCTCCGTATAAAAGTTTCAAGTGCTTTGATAGAATCCGATGTAGAATTATTATTTGGTAATAAATGTAATTTCAGATTGGGTGAATTTTGATATAATTTAATTATTTCTTCAGCAATTTCAACATCTACAATAGTTAAAGTTCCAATTAACAGTTATCAATTGTCAACTATCAAATATAATGGAAAAACTATGTCTACTTACTTGAAACGAATTGCAGAAATCGAGGATAAATCAAAGCTCCACGTTTCTTAATTCTAGGCAGAATTATAGGGTAGAATAATCGATCTCTCCAATATGGCCATCCATATTGAGATAGTATTATTAATTGACATAACTTGATATCTTCTTTATCATTGCTGTTGGATGAATTTGCATCAAGTTCCATCTATCAGAAAAGATTCGATTTCGTAAATAATATTAAAAATTATATTCCACTAATAAAAAGATATTTTTACCTCATATGACCAGATTAAGTCTTTTATAGCCCTTACAACCAATCCTTCCTGTGTAACTTCTATCAATTTATACCTATTTTTTAATTGTTCGTTATCGAAATTATTTTTTATCTTCGTTAATAGCCATTCATCTTTTTCAAAATGTTCATTTAAAACTGTGGTATATGGCATGACCGCCAATATTATTAATAACTCGGCTCGAGCTTCCCCCCACATTTTGACAGTTATATAAATAATGGCTATTGAATATAAGACTCGTAAAGGTAACATTAAGGGTGTTTGATTTTGTATTGCAAATTCGGTATCGTTAATTTTCATGTTATCTTCTTCACCGTTATTTGGTTTTTTCCCTTGTTGTCGTATTGAATTAATATAACGAGTATCATCTTCGTCATCATCATTATTTTTATTTTTATGATTGTTATTAGTGTTATATTTATTTTTATTGTTAAAGTTTTTGTTATTACTATTATTGTTGCTGTTGTTACTGCTGCTGTTACTGCTGTTGTTGCTACCGATAATGTTATTGATATTATTATTGTCCTTGGTTTTTGAATTTTCTGCGATTTTTTGACGATATTCATCCCATGCACCAGAGAATCGACCACATATATCTTGAAAGTAATTAAGTGATATGCCTAAATATCCACCATTTTTCAGATTGAGTTCTGATCGTGTCAGCATTACTGCATTAGTAACATCCAATGGAAGATTCCATGACTTTAATTGAAGTTCCAAGTCTAAATTTTGAATATTAGCAATAATATAGTTATGATTCAAATTTTCTGCCTAAAGTGAAATTATACTACTAATTTATAGAGAATAATAAATACCTTGTTCTAGATTTGTATTTTCTGGATACATTTCTCTTATTAAATTCCAGCATTCATCAGCACGTTCAAATAATATAATAGCTTCATTAGCCACGGATTCATCAAACTGATCATCTGTAATTACTTTATCAATTAGATTGACATCTCATTACCAATAAAATGGTTACAACGAAATTATTACCTTCAATGAAATTCGAATGCTCACTTTTCGGATGAGCATTTGCTAAATCTTCCGAATCTTTAGTTGATCCAATTTTTTTATTATCTTCATATTCGATATTCTCTCCGCCTTCCTCTTCTTCTTCTTCACTATTGATGAGATTATATACGTTCATAATGTTTGTGTCTCTAGCTTTTTCCTTTTCTTTACATTCACTTATAGTTGCCTCCATTCCAGATGAAATTGAAGTACTACTCGATGAATTCGTCAATTTCCTTCTTTTCACCACTCTCTTATTGGTTGATTCATCTGATGACATTTCATTCTCTTTTGGGATAAGTGAAGATTTTAATTTTTCTACTCTTATTCTTATTGCTTCTGTTGATTCAAAATGAGGATTAGGACAACATGGTATTAAGCAAGTTTTCTGACCTATTATATAGAAATTTGTGGATATATAATGAACAATAAATAATCAGTAATGTTTATTTCATATATAAATCTATTGTCAAAATCTATGAGTTTTTCACCATAACTATCAATGAAAGACACGTAACCCCCAGATGATTTATCCTTTAAACCGGCGACGTATTCGTAAAACTCATAGCAGCAATGAACAAAACAGGCCATTGCTATCGTTCGAGCGAAACTGGATGCATAAAGATCATTAATGATTTTTTCTTGACAAAGTAGTTTAAAGAGTTTATCAGGGAGCTTTCGACAATCTAAAAATAGATCCACTAAAGTGGTTCTTGGCGAACTATTAACAATAAAGAAAATTTATTGAATTAGATGATAGTAATTATAATATTAATCATGACTCTTAAATTGTACCTTTTTAATTTTACATAATTACAAATATCCATCACACTTAATGAGACCTCAAATAATTTCCTCCAGTCTTTATTTGCAATATAGAAACTTTGACCACATTGAAGCCATAGTTTCAATTGATCAAAAGTTACATGGAATGATGATTGTGCGGCTGTGTCATTTGAATTGGAGATAAAAGGTGCTGAGGATACCGGAAGCTCCGGTTGATAAACAACGATGTCAGCCGGTATTTTATCAGGATATACAGCCATTTTATTTCTAAGAATTCCTGGTAGTATTCCATTAACTGTGATTTAAGGTTGCAAGAATTACGAGGATTAATAAATAATTCTTCAATAGTTATAATTTAGATAAAAAATTTAGATCAGTAAATTGTTTTATTTAACCTTTTAAATTAGATTTTACCAACCTAAGCATTGCCGATATGGATTAAGAACTGACGTAGGTTGATGATGATTCTCAGATCGTATCGCAATTTGAGCTGCATGCGCCTATTAATGTTAGTCGAGATGAAAAAAAGTGAATCAAAATTGAAATTTTAAAAAAATTTAACTTATTTCTCCTTAATATTTTTACCCCATAATAAGTGGTGGTCTCTGGATATGTTTTTAAAACAAGAGCAAACATTTGACAAGATTCCAAAAATGCACCAGTCGATTCATAATAAACTTTTAATACAAAAAAAAATTAAGTGAAAAGGAGTATTAATTTTTATATGCATAAAAAACTTGATTCTTTTATAACTAACATTTGAATAAAAAATTTATTACTTGCTGTTCTTATGAAAACTTCGCGTTGTGTTTTCGTTGGAATCTTCAGGAAAAAAGCTATAAAATTGAATATTTAGAATAAAAAAATCAATATATAATTTTCACATATTAAGATTTTTAATTGGTAAGAAAGTTTTTGAGTTGAATCAAATAAACAAGTCGCCTTATGTATTTAATAATCACCATTTATTCTTAATAAAACACTCAAATGAATATAAACGCACGTATTTTTTCTGTTTACTACTCACAAAAGTTGTCGTCTCGTGATTTCGCTAAGACAGATTGTGTAATCTCAGCAAGATACTTTTTAAAAGGTATATGATCGGGGAATTTTTCACGACTTTAATTAAAAATATAAGTAAATTTAGATAACAGAAAAGAAAATTATATAAAAAGAAATTATTAATAGAACTTACATAGAATCGAAAATTAGTTTAGCTTTAGTGGTATCACCTTGTTTTAATGCAATTCGATGATCTAAAATCTAAAACATATCATAATTTAGTATTATTCAATTTATCATAAACATATTTTTCTATTGCTGCTAATAAAAAAAGGATGATAATTTTTTAAGCATAGCCTTTAAACTTTAGATATAATTATAAGACTAATTATTTAATTTTTATAATTTTTATCGATTAAATTAATTATTTAATGTTATTAGGAAAAAGACTCAAAAAAAAAGAAAAACGATATACAAAGAGGATATATCACTACGCACCTTTAACTCATAAGCTTCCGGATATTTCTGTAACGCTTGTTGAAGATAATGTATTGCGTATTGTAAACGCATGTCACTTGTCTCCACAGGGTGGTGATTGTGTAATTCAAGTTGACTCGTAGTAGGATTTGTAAGGTAACGATTGATCATATCAACATAATATTCGAGACTATTAGCTACCACTTGGTTGGAAGTATTGGAGTTCATTTCTGAACTATTTTTAATGTTTTATTATTATTATTATTATTATTATTATTATTATTATTATTATTATTGTTATTGTTATAGTCACCACTACTACCACCACTACTACTACTACACAGCACTGCACTCTACTACTGCTGCTATTATTATTATTATTATTATTGTTATTGTTATTATTATTATTTCTTTTTATTATTTAAATTTTGGCAAGAAAGTGATGACGAATATACCAAGATCATTTGCTTTTTATAAGTGCTTCGCACGATTGTTTAAAAGAGTAGTTTCTCGCGTAAAAGAAAAGCTTACAGCAAACAAAATTATGATATCATTTGTATTCTAACAGAAAATATAAAAATTGCAGCAGACGAGAGAAGGAAGTAAAAATTTAAGAGTGGGGAATGGGAATTTGTGTTAAATACTGATGTTAAATTGGAACTAGCAATTTATGATCCTATCGTAAAATTTTTCTTTTTTTTGATGTTCGCTGCACAGGAAAATTTATTTGCAAATCAATCATAATTCTATTATTATATTTATATGGAAATAGTCACTTTTTGGGGTGATAAATGAAAAAAGAAAGAATGAGTACATCCTACTTTTTAATTTAATATAAATTAAAATTTTTTGCTGTACAATAAAATAATCAATAACGTATTTGGTTAAATGTATTGTAGTTGTGATTGTGTCCCTCAACACTGCATGAATTATATGTGATTACAAGAAGTTCGGGTAAGTGCCATATTAAAAAAAAAATTTCGAGATCTTATTTCGTATTACTGGCATCATAATGAACTCATAATAATTATAATGCAAACTCTATTTTTGGAAATCATGCCACTTTCCAAATAACATATCAGATTCTGGAACCCCAGTTGCGTAGACATATTTATTCAGAATAGATGCAGAGCTTAAATTGATATATTAGGTAAAGCTTACAAATCAGAATTTTTTACACAATCAAAATTTTTTATAGTAATATCTTTTTTAGGAGAAATATTTACTCTTACTTCGTCAAAATTAGACCTGAAAAGATATAATTTTTCGATTTAAAATGAAAA